CCCCTTCCTCTCCTCCTCCTCCTCCTCCTCCTCCTCCTCCTCCTCCTCCCCTTCTCTTTGGCATTTGCATCACATTTATAATTCATTGTACATTACCTACATTAACCAGGTGCTACATGACTATACTGAACACCTTTCCCCTTTCATTCCAAAGTGATGCATAGTGCTAATTTGTACTATCTTTCAGTAGACTACTAAAGAAAAGGAAAAACTCTATATAATTAGAATTGCACAGATGCCTCTATAAAAGTAGGATATAAGCACATATACTGTACATACTCACACACACTTCATTGGAATGCCAAGCTATCCTTTAATACTTTGCTATGCACCATCTCAGTTTAGATTCCCCTTGTGTCTGCTATAGCTCCCATTTTCTGCATGGAAAGCTAATTTTGCGGGGGTGAGGGGGAGAAGAGAAATGAAATCCAGGATGAGAATTAGGATCTTAATGGCAGACAAGCTATTAATGACTTCCATCTGTCATAGTAGGACAGTCTTCTTCTTTTGCATTTCAAGAAGCCATCCACACAATTGTTAATTGTGTGAATAATGCCATATTTACTTTTATTATTTAGCTACTACTAATTTAAAAACAAATCCCAGAAAGAAATTGTATAATACAAAGGTTTGGAAAATAAAAACATTGTAAGGATTAATTAAGGAGAATTTTTAGATGGAGATGGAGAGAACAGGTTTTTATGGGTGCAAAATCTCAAGTTTCATCATTTTATAATTTCAGGCACTGAAACATATTTTAGTTCCCCATCTTTTTTTCTGTGCAAAGGAGAAATTCATCCTTTCAGTCTTAACATTCATAGTATAAATCAGTGTTTTTCAAACTTGGCAACTGAGTGGACTTCAGTTCCCCATGTTGGCTGAGAAATTCTGAGAATTTGAAGTCCACTCATCTTAAAATTGCAGATTTTGAAAATATTGGTATAAATAAATACTTTTAATGGAGAAAAGTATTTCGAGTAACACCAAGCATCACAGAAAATGAGGATGAAGTGGAAGTAGGATGGGATAGGCAGGAGAGAAGGCATGCCAGCATCATTGAATGCATCTTGCCCAATACTTGATTTTTTGGGAATGGGCATTGCCTGACTGAGTGATTATTCCAGAATTTTAGTGATTTATGTGAATGTAAACTTCAGTTCATGTTTGAAAAGGCCTTTGCGTCTATCCTATATATACAAATGAAGAAGAATCTTCAATTAAGTTTGTTTGATTTTAATGCTTGGCAAAGAGAATATAGGATTACAGCACAAGAAATATAACTTGCAGAACATTTGTTAAGAAAAATAAAAGAAGACACCAATGCACACAATAAAATTGCTATAAATGATCACATAGCATGTTAATCAATAGTGAAAATACTTGTTAGGACTAGTCTTTCTCAAATTTCTGTCCTTCAAATGCTGACAAAGGAATTACGGTAGTTACAATATGACACATTTGTAAATCAAAGTAGCTTTGATTTAGTAAAAAATAATAATGTGTGAACAAGCAAGTATTCTCTGGAATCTTTGGTACTTTTTGATCTTGATTGTTTTATTGCAGAGATTTCATTACTGATTAGGTAACATCTCCAGTGCTAGAAGAGAGTGGTGTTTGCTCTCTGTTTATAGATGGTAGCTTGCCCTGTCAAATTGATGGGGGTATTGTTTTCTCTTTGGTAGTTCTTTGATTAGGATGTTCTTTCTTACTTCATTGTTATCTAGTGTAAATCTCTGCTTACCTGGGCTGTTGATTGGTGAGGAGGTGTTATGGTGTTTTTGTTTCCTTTTTCTATTGCCTCTTTTGAATGGTATGTAAATATTTATCTCTATGTGCCTGTTGATGGCTGAATTGTCTAAGTGCTAAACTTCCAAGAAGTCTCTGGTAATTTTGGATTTAGCCTGGTTTAGGATGCTCAGTTTTCCAGTTGAAACTATGAGAGTGTCTGTCTATTATAATGAAATTAAGGGGTTATCTTCAAAAAGACCAGAACATCTCTTTCACTAGTCAATACACAAATAAGCAGGGATTTACACTAGATAAATAAACAAGCAATAAATAATATCCTAATCAAGGAACTACCAGCTTGGACAAACAATCAAACAGTAAGTAACAGCCTAATCAAGGAACTACCAAGGACAAACCATGTCCCTACCAAGTTATTGTATGTAAACAGAGAGCAAATCCTACTCCTTTCTAGCACTGAAGATGTTATCTAGACAAGTAACAACATATTTGCAAGAAAATAGACAAGCTCAAACAACACCTGGGACTCCACAATTCAGCTCTGAGCTATATGTACCCTACTAGAAGTGAGTGTCCTGGGGAAGTTCCAGGCAGAGGGAGAAGTAAATGAGCTCCCTTCCCCATCTTTCTTTCAAGAGAGAGTAAATTCATGTGCTGTTTTCTCTTCTCCACAGTTGGGTCCAGGAGTTCCTAAATGAAGAGAATAGAGGTCTTGATGTGTTGGTGGATTATCTCGCCTTTGCCCAGTGCTCTGTCACGTAAGTTCACTCTTGTTAACTAAAAGCAATAAGTAAGGGAAAAAGCAGAATTGTGATGAAGGTTCTGTCATAAACATAGCTTTAAAACTGGGAGTTGCTTAATCCAATTGTGCAGGGAACACAAGTCTGGGCACCAAATGATATAAGGATGCCGGTAGCTGTTTTATTTCAATAGTGTCACTTTTTAGGTAGGTTTGATATTGCTTAGAGAGACATTCCTTATTTAATTATAAATTGTTTGAAACATTACCAAGGGAATTTTGAGGTCATGTTCAGGAGAAGCCTGCTATCCTGTTTAATGGGGAAAGAGCCTAAAGACTCCTTGACCTCACAGAAATAATTCCCATGACCTTTTGAGAACTGGACATACATTGTATTTTGTCTGTATACACATATGCATGAAATTGGTATCAGACTATCCTTTTAGAAGGGAGTTCTACTAGTGAAATTTATCCAAGATTATATATTCTTTCAGCTCTTGTCACTTTCCAATGAATCAGTTGACACAAAACAAACAAACCTCAAACAAAATAGCTCAGTGATGGCGAACCTTTTAGAGACCAAGTGCCCAAAAACTGGCCCCACCCCTGCCCCGCCCCCACTCCACCCCACCCTGCCTGCCCGCAGCGCCACTCACTGCCTCCAGGGCTGGCCGCAGATCGTCCAGGCAGCCCAGCAGCACCACAGCAGCCACACCCTCTGCCCACGCCCCACAGCATCAACTGTGCGCATTGGGGCGTGAGGGAAAAATCTTGTCTACACTGCCTGGCTGCCATGTCCTTGGCTGTGCTGCTCCGCGTGGGCCACCAGGGAGGCTGCTGGTGAGGGGGTCACGGGCGGAGGCAAGACTGGGGCAACGGCATGTGTGCCCACAGAGAGGGCTCCAAGTGCCGCCTCTGGCACCCGTGCCATAGGTTTGCCACCACTGAAATAGCTTGTTAAGTTGTTGATAAGAAGAAAGGTGATAATAGCTGTTTGGGCCGAAATCATATTTAAGACAGGAAAGCAAGGTTTCCCATCACATAGATTTCTTCTTCTAGTTTTAAACATTGGAATTGCAAAGCAAGAATTGGCAAAAACATTTCCAATGTAGGTTAATATCAGTCAGTTCCAACTGTGTCAAGAAAGAATCAGCAAGAGAAATGTCAAGTTACACTTATAAGAGTGTTTGCTGTTTTTGCTGAAACTGTGCTCCCAACTGAGGATGGATGAGTCATATAGGAGCCATAAGGGTTCCCCCCTCCCACTTCCTGGTACAGGAAACTAGAGGGTGGCAAACTTGTAATTCTTCGCCTGATTTTACAAACTTCTACTTAATATCAGGAGACTTCTGCAAGGTATCAGTTCTGAAAAAGCCATTTTTTATGTTAAGGAAGAGAGAGAGAGAGAGAGAGAGAGAGAGAGAGAGAGAGAGAGAGAGAGAGAGAGTTGATTCTGCTAACAGACTAGCATTGGTCTTACTAAAATGAACCCTCTGTAAATCATTTCAAAGGAAACATAATACTTTATAAAAAAAACCCTTTTCTGTTAAATATATTTTAATCATATACAACTTTATTGAGGAGTAATTCCTCAATAAATGAAGAGATTTAAGCCATAGTGATATGAGTGGTTGCTTCTCTAACCATGACTGTCAGTCTACCACCAGTTCATTTCTTCTAGGCCAAGTATTATTTTTACTATTTATTAAGTTTTTATGCCACCCATTCCCCTATAAGGTGACTCTGGGCAGCATACGTTAAAAAAGAATAGAAAAATAATTAAAATATTATAACACACTAAAACTACACAGATTAAGATTACAGAAGGTATATTAAAACTAGAACTAAGAGATGGACAGGATGGGGGATGAGGTCTTCTTACCCTCTCAACCCTCAAGCAATGAGTAGCCTCTTCATAGCCACAGGCCAGCCAGCAAAGCCACATTTTAATATACTTCTGAAAGACCAAAAGGGTGGGGGCAATTCTCAAAGATGGGGCCACAGTGGAAAAGGCTCTTATCCTTGAACCTGCCTGCTGGAATTCCTTAGCAGATGGGATTCCTAGTGCAGGCTCCTTCTGCTGGCACGAGCTTGTCCCATCAGGGAATGACAGATCCTCAGATGCCCTGGACCCAAGCTATGTAGGGGTTTAAAGGTACAACCAAAACCTTGAATTACCGGTACATCCAGAAGCAAACTGGTAATCAATGCAGCTTATGCAGTAGTGGGGTTATATGTGCAGTCCTAAAACTCCCAGGACTGTGTGCACCACTGCATTCTGTACCAGCTGCAGCTTCCAAATATTCTTCAAGGGCAGCCCCACATAAAGTCCGCTGCAGTAATCCATCTGAGAGATGATTATGGCATAAGTGACCATGCTCAGTGCTTCATGATCCAAGTAAGGGTGTTCCTGGGGCACAGCATGAGTTGCACAAAGGCCCTTTTAGCCACAACTGTCACTTGCTCTTTGTGCAGGAGTCATGAGTAAAGGAGGACTCCCAAGTTCCTCACTGGATCTGTGTGGGGTAGTGCAATCCTATCCAGAGTTAATGATGATAAACAATTGGATCCTGAAGTCCCTTCCACCCACAGTCATTTCATCTTGCCTGGGTTAAGCTGAAGCCTGTTGTCCCCCATCCAGATCCCTAGAGCCTCCAGGCACTGAGAAAGGATGGCCACAGCATCGTTTGGATTACCAGAGGATGAAGTATGTAAAACTGTATCATGGAGATGCATACTGCTGATATCTCATCCCATAGGGTCCGATGATCTTACCAGTGGTTTCATGTAGATGTTAAAAAGGAGTGGAGAACATACCAGTGGCTTCTCACAAAGGAATGGCCATGGACTGGACCCCTTGCTCCCTATTGACATCTCTTGGGACTGGCCTTGGAGGAAGGAGCTGAACCAGTGCAATACAGTGCCACTCAGTCTCAAAGCCCATAGCTGGCCAAAAGGATACTATGGTTGATGGTGTGACCAATGGGATTTCTATCCCATAATCCAGCCTGAAACCTGACTGAAAGGGGTCCAGATAATCCGTTTCATCCAGGACCCTCTGGAGCTGCAAGGCAACCACTTTCTCCATCACCTTCCCTAGAAAGGTGAGGTGGGAAACTGGATGAAAATTGACCAAAGGACTTGGGTTCAAGGATAGTTTCTTGAGGAAGTGGTACACCAAGACCTCCTTAAATGGTGTTGGAAACACTTTCCCTTGGACTGATGTGTTAATCCCACTTGGATCCATTTGCAGGTCACCATCCTGGAGATTTTCACCAAGCAGGAGAGATATGGATCTAATAAGTGAGTAGTTGCCTTAACAGCCCCAAAGATCCTGTCCACTTCCTCAAGTCCAATAGTATCAAATCATTCCAATGGACATGCTCCACACTTGGATTCAAACTGAGAATGGATCTGAGCGGGGCCCTGTAAATGATTATCGAAGCCCACTTCTCAAGGAGGGACTTTGAACAGAGCCGCTGGCAACACTCTGAGAATGCAATAAGACTGGAGAAATAGTGATGTTTCACCATTCTTACTGCCATGAGGTAGGCTTTAATTGTGGTTGTGATCCGTATCCAGTCAGCTTCATTCTTAGTTTTCCTCCAGCAGAGCTCTATCTGTCTTTTGTCTCTTTTCAGCACCCTCAGCTCTTCAATAAACCTTGGGGACTGTGGGGCCAGGAGAGTGTGCATGGCAATGATTCTGTCCAGGTCCTCAGCTGCTTTCTGGTTCCAGGTTGCAGCCAAAGCCTCCACTGGGCCATGCAGCAGAACCACCAGGATATCCCCCAGCTCCTTCTGAAACCCATGTGGGTCCATTAATCACCGAGGGCAGACCATTCAAATAGATCTGCCTCCCTGCATGGCAGTGAGCATTGGAAAATCTCACAGCTACCAGGTGTGGTCTGGGAATAATGACAAATCCCCTACCAGATCACATTGTCACTGTTCCAACAAGAAAATCGTATCCAGAGTGACTGCTATTTATTTATTTTATTTTATTTATTAAATTTATATACCGCCCTATCTCCCTTACGGGACTCAGGGCGGTGAACAGGCGATACTAAAAACCACAATAATAAATAAATAATTTCTATGCTAAAATCAAATTAAATGACAGGCCTGTTCTAAAAACACCCCATATAAAACCCCCACTAAAACATAATCAAACTTAATCAAACTACGCCAGGCCGGCCGCACGGAATAGATGGGCCTTCAGGGCTCGGCGAAAAAGGCGCAGGTCCGCAACTGTACGTAGGTCAGGGGGTAGATCATTCCAGAGGGCAGGAGCTGCCACAGAGAAGGCTCTCCCCCTGGGGGTCGCCAGCCGGCATTGTCTGGCCGACGGCACTCTAAGGAGGCCCTCTCTGTGGGAGCGGACTGGTCGAAGGGAGGTGTTTGGTAGGAGGCGGTCTTGCAAATACCTAGGTCCATTGCCATGGAGCGCTTTAAAAGTTGCTATCCTGAGGAGGTCCTTGGATGATCTGGGGTAGGCCAATGGCCACCATGGCATCCATGAATTCTGGGCTGCCTCTGAGGCAGATTAAAAGGATGGCAGATTGAAGTCCTCCAGGACCACAAACCTGGGAAACTCCACCGTCAGCCCTGAGATGGCCTCCGGCAGCTCAAGCAGGGAGGTCGCTATGCAGCAGGGAGGCTGGTACAGAAGCAACGTCCCAACTGATCTCATGTGCCCAGCTTTAGTATGTTGTACAAAGGAAGCTTTGTTTACAAATGAAACAATTGTATATGTTCCTTTAGCATAATTTTATTCTGCTTCTGCCATTACAGGCAAAAAAATGGCCACCTGCACTTTTTTATGCCCAAAACTAAAAGCAAACTTCACTGCATATTGTAGGAAAAATAGAGGTAATCCTTGACTTACAACCACAATTGAGCTCAAAATTTCTCTTGCTAAGTGAGACTTTTGTTAAGTGAGTTTTGCCCCATTTTATGACCTTTCTTGCCACAGTTGTTAAGTGAATCATTGCAGTTGTTAAGTTAATAACCCGGTTGTTAAATGAATCTGGCTTCCCCGTTGACTTTGCTTGTCAGAAGGTCACAAAAGGGGATCACATGACCTCGGTACATGGCAAGTTTCATAAATATGATTCTGTTGCCAAGTGTCTGAATTTTGATCATGTGACCATGGGGATGCTGCAATGGTCGTAAGTGCGAAAAACGGTCATGTCACTTTTTTCAGTGCCGTTGTAACTTCGAACGGTCATTATACGAATGGTGGTAAGTTTAGGACTACCTGTAAACAGACCTCAACAATATCTAATAGAAGTGGATATGAGGTACATCAAGATCAAGGATAGATAATTAATCCCTTGCTGTACATATAGTCCTTGCCTTATGACCACAATTGGAATTAGAATTTCTGGCATAAATTGGGCAGGTCATAAAGTGAGTCATCACATGAACAACTTTATTTTAGAACCATTTATATTAAAGTTGTTAAATGAATCACATCATTAAGTGAATCACACAGTCATTAAGCAAATCCACCTTCCCCAGTTGAGTTTCTTTGATGGAAATGAAATTGACAAATGTGATTATCAAGCAATTGACCTCAAGTGACTGCAAAATGCTGCAACCAGTTATAAATGCCAGCCAGTTCCCAAGTGCCCCAGTTGTGATCACGTGACTGCAGGGATGTGTGTGATGCAGTGGTTGAAAGTGTGAAGACAGGCCTTAATCGCTTTTTCCAAAACTGTCATAACATTGAACTGTTGTTATAAGAACAGTTGTAAGTCGAGGACTACCCATAGTTCAATGACTTCTTGACAACAATATTTCATTGATTTTAAATATTAATTATGACAATAAAAAATAAAACAATTAGCAGTTTAGTAAAAAAAATAAGCGGTTAATATTATTAATCTGAAATAATGCAAATATAGGTTTGTATTTATGTGGAAGCTACCTTCCATATAAAGTATATAATGACTCCGCTTCCTAAGCCACCATTTTCCATCTTGCTCCATTTATTCCACCTATAATAACATTGTGCCCTAATCCAGCTAGTGGACCTCAGGAACCTAGTTAAAAAGAGAGAGAGAGAGAATCCTGGAAGCTGGAAGCCTGTATACACCAAAGTAAAATACACAAAGACAGTTTGCTCAGCACCTTGGATAGCAGCCCCAGCTCTGACGCTGCCAAAGCAAAAATGGAGCCTAAGCCATGTTTATTTCAGCAACTGAGTTATGAATCTTTACAGGGAGGAGAATTTATTGAAATGTATAGAATGGTAATGCCCTGAAAAACAGTTCTCCTTTCTCCTTCCATTTCACTGCCAGAGCCTCAATAAACCCCACCCACTCACCTGTTGACGCACATTTGTGTTTGTCTGTGTGGCTCCAGGTATGATATGGACAGCACTGACAATGGGAGCCCTGGGTCGGACAAGGGAAAGGCCCTGGACAGATCTGTAGAGGACCTCAGCAGAAGCAATTGCTCTCCCACACAGGGTTCCATCAAAGCAAGGCACTTGACTGTCAGGTAACCAAATGAAATTCGGGTAGGTTTTCTTAAACAACTTTCCCACTACTCAGATGAAGCACATGGGACAGAAAGACAGGAAGTCCCGTTTTATATTTTTCCTGCACAACAAACTGCTCTAGAAAATAAAATACAAAAATTATAGAAAAGCCAGCAAGTTAAGGGCAGTGGCCCCCAACCGTTTGGGCACCAGGGACCGGTTCTGTGGAGAAAGGTTTTTCCGCAGACCAGAGCGGGTGTGGTTTTGCATGGTGCCTGCATCCCATGGATGGGCCTTGGCTTGTTTGCACAGACTGGTTTCTGGCATGCTGCAGACCGGTGCCAGTCCGTGGACCGGGAGTTGGGGACCCCTTGTCTTAGGGTTTGGCACATGTTAAAAAGCCTTTGCTATAAAGTATCATTTGCTATAATATAAGCAGTGTGGAAATCAGAGGCCATTTCAGTTAGTATAAGCCCCAAATTCTTATTCTTTTAGATCATGCCAGAATGATGCCAAATGAAAGAATTGTATGACAGAGGATGGCAGGCTGGTTAGGTGTAGGTTGTTTATTTACTTGTTTATGTATATACAAGTATATGTATAGGGTGAATCTCAGAACCTTCATCTAAAATGATCAGAAATATTTTGGATTTAAGATAGCTCCAAGTTTAAATGGAACAATGAGATTAATTGCTCATTAAAATGAGCTCACTAGGGAGCAGTATGAGGAAATGCTCCACAGATTGTTTCCTGTTTTTCGACTTCTGTAGACCAACTTAACAACTCATACTAAAAGCTCTGATCCCACCAGATTTCTTAAAATGTCTTTAAAGTTAACAAAAAAAATTTTTCAAGAGATTACTCATTTTTCAATTTCTAGTTTAGAAATTAAAAGTTTACTTGCAGTGCAAAAAACACAGTATGCACTGTTCTTTCCCCAGAAGAAAATGACTACAAAGGAGCCAGGTTATAGTTGGAGAGTTTTTAAACATTTTCTTACATGCTAGGGTTACTATATTAAGTAAACCAATCTAAAATAATAGTATAGAACCATAATCTAGTTTCCAAGTTTTTTCACATCTATGATCACCTCAAAGGTAGTGCTTTCAATGACAAATCTGAGAAGATGGGGGCTTTTCCATGTTAACTGCTAACTTTCTAACAAACTTGCAAAATCAGTCTTTCTTCTCCCCTTCTTTCTCTCATCTCTGTCCTAACTCCTTTTCTTTCTTCTTATTCTAACCCCACACTTCTTTTGCATGCTTCCATTGGGGAAATGCCTCATGGTAGGTACCCAGATATTGTCTTCCTGGATAGGGAGAATATAGTTGATGGGATATAGTACATGTGTAGTTTGGGTTCATCAACTCTGGAGAGATTCAACACTATGATCCATTGAATCATAGTTTGAAAAGGAAGCCCACATGTATGTTTTTTCTCTTTCTCTTTCATTTTTGATAGGCATTGAGGCATTAACCAATATGTGACCTAGCATCTTGGAGGAGTGCACCAAAGACCCCTTCCATGCTTTGTTAATGTGATTTCTTATGCAACATTAGAAGCCTTTCTCTCTACTTAACATTTCAGAAGTGAAGTGAAAACCAATATACCCTTCCTTCAAGATTGGAGGGGCTGGGCCTTGTGATTCAATGGGCTAAATGATTTAACTGATTCCAGTTTTTCTTAGGCTAATCAGCCTTTTTGTTACATAAGATCCTAATCCTGAATAGGAGGGTGTTGACTTTGGAAAACAACTGACTTAACTGACCCAAGGTGGATTCCCACTCCTGCAGGCAATTCCCCCCCCCAATCTTGGGATATACAAAGCCACACAATTTAGAGAAGAAAATATTCCTGCCCATAACATAGAGAAAATCCCAAAGAGTAGAAGCAGACTTGCATTGGAAAAATGGGTAATAATGGGCTCTTTTTGCTGGATTTACCTAAAAAATGCTAAAGGGATGTCAAGGTTGTTTTGCAAGTGACCCTCCCTGTAACTCCAAAACTGTCACTTTCCCACCATGCTTGGGAAGGGGGGAGGGACAGGGAGGCATCCACCTGAAGCATCCTATTTTTCCCTCCTGTCCTGCAGGGTTGCACTCTTCCACTTCCTTCAGGTGTTGCCACTTGAACCAGCAGATCCAAACATTCTTTCAACAAGTCCACCCCAGCATCCCCTCCTCCAGCGCCCTTGGCACCGAGCAGGACTGTAAGCCCAGGCCACCTGTCAACTCTTACTCACCCCGGTGAGCTTCTCCCAGACTTCATCAGAACCCCCTCCCCCACATATGCAGCCAGAGGCTGTAGGAGTGGCTGGGGCAAGGCCACGCTCGCCCTTCTTTCACCTTTGTGTTCATGCACAGGCACTCCAGATACTGAACACTGGGAGTCTTGAGGGCTGGAAGTTTGCTATTTTAAACATCCAAAATGAGGCAATCCATCCCTAAAAGTTCAGTCACTGGAATTATTTTGGAAAATCTGGGATATTTGCATGCTTAGATTTTCATTGTTTTCATAGTCATCCCAAGGGGTTTTGGTTGATTTGTTTTGGCTTTATTTTTAATTTTTTTTGTTGCTACTGTCATAAAGCTTAGGAAATTGGCTGAGATGTACAGAGATTGTGGAAAGGGAATGTTGAACGTCAAATGAGCCTGAAGTTTTACAAAAATAATATAAAGTTTCATCTGGCTTGTCTTCAGTCATGACATCTAGAAACCTTTTGTAAGGCTGAAGCCAAAGCCACCAGTTTTTTAGAATCTGAAGAACTGATACCAGCATCCATCCTCTGTATTGTCCTTCAACCATATCCATGTGAAAGACTTTGTGTGATATTTTTTCCTATAGTTGTTAGCCCCATTCTTGAGATTCTTTTCCATGCCTAATCATATGGAAGCAGCAATGCCCTGGAAACTGGACTGGACATCTTCATAGGTGATAACATCCTGTAGGCTGGAATTTCTCACCTTGTTGCCTTCCAGATATGTTGGACTTTAACTTCTATAATGTCCAGCCAGTCACATCTAGAAATTAGAGGGACTAAAGTGCAACACAGCTGCAGAACAACAGATTGGATAAAATTATTCCTGGATGCTATTTATACTGGAAATTTAGGAAAATTTAAACTACTAACCTGCTACTAATACTGACTCCTGCTGGTCCCCTTCAAATTCTTCTCATATGCTATTCTTTATACTTTTGGACTATTGTACGAGATTGACACCCACTGTCATTGAGCTGTTTCTCCCCCCTCTCTTCCCCATTTTAAATTTATTTCTACCCCAGACTCAATCCGGCACACAGCAGGAAGGCACTACGGAACTCACGTCTCGTCAGCCAGAAGGATGATGTTCATGTCTGCATCATGTGTCTCCGTGCTATTATGAATTATCAGGTAATTGAGGAAGAGGATAAGAAGGGTGAAGGTTTCCATGTGTAGAAAATAGATATACAACATTGGGAAGGGATTTTGAAACTTGCCTAGATTTTAGAATTGATGTGTGAAGTGATGTATATTCATGATATCGGGGAGAGGCAAGGAGGAAAAAACCCCCAGAAAATCTGTACCATACAAAATAATCCATCCCCAATATTTCCAGATAGGGCTGGAAAGGTTCCCATTTGAAGAGCTAATCTGAATAAACCAATGTTCAATATTGGACAGTTTTCTAAAATGACCCATAAATCAGACGTAGGTGTAGGAATAATATGGCTATATGCATTCTCAGAAAAATCCTAATGTTTTAATGTTAGAATTCCAGATTTCATTGTCTTGCAGTTTTCTGAGAACATGGAGTGTAAGCACTCTAGTGCTTTCCAAAATTGTTGGACTCTGTTATCCGTAATTATTAAATGGCCTGCTTGCATGGGGCTTTTAGTCATCAACATATAAGAGGAATTTGGTTTTGACCACAGTAAGCAAATTGGGAAGAGAGAATTCAATAGCCCTTAAACAACAAGCCCTTGCTTGTTGCAAACCAATGTTAGATTTGATGAACCACTCTTTTATTTATTTGTTTGTTTAAAACATTTATGCAACTGCTCGTTTTATATCAAATTGGGTACTCACAATCAAAAATTAAAACAACATAAACACCATATTAAAATTATTAAAAGCAAACATATTATAAATTTAAACACTGGAATTTTCCGTACAGTACAGACAGATTTGCACAACCTGTTTGCAATGAATTCTAATAGGTAGGTAGGTATGCCTAGGAAATTATTTTACATGATAATTTTGCACTATTATTTTTGAAAGGAAGATGTTGCCCAGTAGTGTTACTCCCATCAGACATGGTTGTGGGAATTGGTGGAATGCTGTGAGTTTATATATCCCAATATTTGAGAAATAATCAAATGTTTGAAGAGCTCAGGTGTCTTAAGGAGTAGTATGGCTTTTAAAACTTTTATATGTTATTGTTAAATGACATCACACAAACAATTTGGTTAAATTATGAAAGTGTACGTGTGTGTGTGTGAGAGAAAGATTTTAAAACTCTCTATGCAAAGAAAAGTTAGGTTCATAATTATCACTTGAAAATGGGTAACCAGCATTTTGGCTTGCCACAACCAATCATGTCCATATGGCCTCAGTTTATTTTAAAAAATATACTCTTTGAGTCTCTTTGTAACCAAAGAGCCATGCCTGTGTTTGTTTCCATTTTCAGTCATCTAGATTCACTTCAACTGCTAATTTTGGCTGCTAATTGTCTCACTTCTCCCTTAGTCTGGATTCAGTCTTGTGATGACCCATCCAGCCTGTGTAAATGAGATCACACTCAGTCTCAACAATAAGAATCCCAGGTAGGAATTCTTTATAGTTATCCTTCTCAGTCTGAATGGTTGTGTTAGCCAATTGCTATCTAGGTCAGTATCAGAGATGAATTCATATATCATTTCTGCATTAAACACTACTTTTATTTTAAGATATGGTATAACAATGAACATTTCTTAGAATACATTATTTTTAAATATATCTTCTAATAATGTACATTCTGTGTGCACTTTGGCACGTATTTTGAGCTGAGAATGGAAGCGTCACATCCAAAGGGCTTCAATTGGCATAGATGTTTGAGAGGCATGGAGCAGGTTACTTCACTTCACAGTGCTGATTGCAATACAAACCAAACAAAATCCACAAGCATCCTGACTTGTTCTCAGTATTCATTTAGTTTTATGGAGTGAGTTACTAAAACTCAGGACTGGTTAAATCTCATAGTATTCTGACTAATAATAATAACACTCTGAGTTCATATTAGGGCAAAGAGTACAATATTGGTATACTAGTGGTAAAGGACATGGAATACACCTCCGTTCAACAGAGTGATTCAAATATTGCATGAAATCATAATGTAGTTTGGCTGTCTTTGCCTTAATGTGTTATGTAAATCTAATCTAATCTAATCTATCTATCTATCTATCTATCTATCTATCTATCTATCTATCTATCTATCTATCTATCTATCTATCTATCTATCTACAGTATCTATCTGTTTTAATTTGCAAATAATGGATTAATTTGCTGTATATGATTTCAGCTACATGTGTATTATTCAGAAATATATGGTTAAACACTCATAGCTTAAAATTACAATCTTTAATTTACTAATTTAAACAAATATATCATATCTATCTATCTATCTATCATCATCATCATCTATCGGGCTTCTACAGCTGCTCATCTACTATAGCATAATTGGGTCTGTCATAATAATAATATAGCACAACTGGGTCTGTCATAATAATAACACTCCCCTCAAAAATTCTTGGCATTATTGAGGGCCATGTTGTACTTGCCCTCTGAACTAAAGAAATTCAGCCAGTTGTGTTTAGACTCAGATCACTCAATTCAGTCTAAATTTTTCTTACCTTCACAGCAATGGTTCACATGCAGGGATCCAACATATAGCTTCATCCCCAACTAGAAGGCATACCTTGCTCAGTGACTTTGTCCATCTCTTTGCTATGATTCCTAGTCCTTACATAGAGGTAATCCTTACTTAACAATCACAACTGGGACTGGCAACGCCGATACTAAACAACACAGTTATTAAGGCAGAAATCATAGCTTGCAATGTCACTGCTGGCTTCTCCATTGACTTTGCTTGTAAAAAGCTGGCTGTGCAGTTCACATTGCAATCATGTGATTGTGGGATGCTTTGATGGTTGTAAATGCACACCAATTGAGAAAGGCCTGAATGATGATCATGCAACCATGGGGACACTACTATGGTTATAAATTTGAGGGCCAGTTCTGAAGTCATTGTTTCAGTAGCATTGTAATTTTGAACAGTCACTAAACAGGGCAGTTGTTAACCGAGGGCTACTGATATATATGTAATATCCATCAGAATAGGGAATTGTGGTCTGCAAAAATAGTGTTAGACTGCATCTCTCAGCAATCTTCGCTACTGGCCATGTTGAGAGTGGTTGCTGGGAGATAAAGTTTAACATTATGTGATTTATGAGTTTTCCCAGCTTTCATATATCCTTCAGTCCTTTATCTATTTTCCAGCCACCAGGTGTTGGAAGAGTGGAGCATTGCTTTCCAAGAATATCTAGCTGCCCTTGCTTGGGAAGCAAGATACTGGATTAAATGATGCTGTAATCCAAATAGAAGAGGGTAATTCTTACATTCCTGTACAGGCTTAAATTAATTATAGATAGATCTATTCTAGGAAAATTAAATAGTTTAGTTTATGCATATGACAAAAAATAGAACTTCTGCAGCATCTATGCAGTAAACATTATTTAGCTTCCCATGTTACATCTGTTTAAAACTAAGGTTCCAAGGAGCAATACTTTCCCATGAATATTTGGTTGCAGTTTTCTTTTTGATTGCTTTATCCAAAACAAGTCCACATATTTCTTTAAGCCAATGTTTATTTTAACCACAGATTATTGAATAAGCTACACATGTAGGTTAAATCACTAAATCATGGTTTACAATCCATATTACAATCCCTATTCACATAACATGTCAAGTCACAAAGAAGCCAACCGCATTATGGAATAGTGCAATGCAATTTCCTACTTATACTATATGAGCAGCAGCTCTTAAGGTATCAAGTGTGTATAGAAATAGTACCTCTAAAGTTCTCTCGTTGCCCCTAAGTTCTAATTGCAATTTTGGAACTTAGTTGTCCTTCATCCTACTACTGTCTTCCCCTGTGTGCTATTACATTTAGTTAACTTTGTCCTTGATATAAACATAAATATGTCCATCTATGTAATCACAGTTGAGAAGCAAAAATTATGTCTAAATTCAAATAAACCAATAAGAAGACCCAAACTAGCAGATCAAGAAGACTTGACCTAGCAGAACTTTCTGCTGCTGGAAGACAGCCATGAAGCTTACCACCTTGGTTAATTTCTTTCTCTTTTTTTCTCCATCATCTACCATCTGTTTGTTGCTTTGGGGACTTTGCCTCCAGTCATTGACCTCTGTTGGCCTCACTCTCTTCCACCTGTTCCATTCTTAGACCCCAGTTTCTTTGGACAAATGTAAAACCTTTGCTCTCATTCTCTTCCATATTGCAGAACTAAAGCTCTTGTCCTTGAGCTGTTGGCTGCTGTTTGCTTGGTCCGAGGAGGTCATGATATTATTCTGGCTGCCTTTGACAACTTCAAAGAGGTTTGTGAGCTCTACCTTCTTGTTTTGTCATTGGTACTTAGCTAAAGTGATGTTCACCAATTTGGAGCTTTAATATAAAATAATTATATATTTTTAAAAGGTTCTAGGTGTACAACTAGCTAAAGTTAAATATTAAATTCTAGATATAACGGTCTTATAAAAACTCCTCTCCTAGATGGCAGTGTATATATTCATTTCCTTCAAAATGCCTCAAATCAATGTTGCTATTTCTCAACTTTTTTTTCTATTGAGTGGACCCCTTCTCAAAATATCTGATCAGGACTGGTGCCAAAATATGCTCTAGAAGATCACATGTTAATTGGCTGCATTACTTAATGTTCTCTTTCCAAAAAAAGCTCCAATGAAAATTATTCAATTTTGCTATTAGTTTGTTTGATTGGTATGTTTCATTGCTACCTCGTGCAAAGTTGCAGCAGGATAGCCCACCCACAGAATGAGTATTTCCAGGACAGTTACTATGTGGAATAATATAACCTGAACTTCTGTAAAAGCAGATCAATAATTATTTGTTTTCAAAAGAAACTCTTCAGCTGTAAGAGTGTAACACACTTTCAGATTTAAATCAGTGTGAGCAGAAGGGGAAGTGCAGGTACTTTGAAATGGGATAAATGTGAGGCCACACCCAGCCCCATATATTTTATCCTGGATCCCTTTGTTGTTAATTGCCTGAACATTATTCAGCCCTTGCCCAGATAAACTGAGTACTAAGAATTGAAGAATGAAAGCAAAGGTTTTGTTGAAATATTTGCTGAAATATTTTTTTCAATGGCTCTTAAAAATGAAAGCAGAAGCAAATACAAGGGGATATGTCCTCTCACCTTAATGTGGTATGTACATATGAATAGCGAAAATGGATGTAGTATCTATATACATGGTTTAAAAAATAATTTTGTATTTAGTACTGTTCCTTTTAAAATGCAAATTGAATCACTTTGGAGGCAGAGTGGGAATTAATGTCACAGCAAGTCTCTCTGCTTTGCCACCCAGAAAAAAAAAATATTTGAAGCTTGTGATTGCATTAGGAGGAAATCACCCATTTTTACTTAACTTGGTTTTTAAGATACTCCATGGGAATCCCTGGAGATGTTGCAAAAGCTTCTGGAAATGGAATACACTAAACAAACAAACAAATAAATACATTTAGGCAAGGAAGAACCAAATGTACAGATGGTACCTTGCTCAATAGTAGTAACTGCGAGAGGGATCTTGGAGTCCTAGTGGACAATCACTTAAATATGAGCCAGCAGTGTGCTGCAGCTGCCAAAAAAGCCAACACCATGCTAGGCTGCATTAACAGAGGGATAGAATCAAGACCACGTGAAGTATTAATATCACTTTATGATGCCTTCATAAGGCCACACATGGAATACTGCATTCAGTTTTGGTCACCATGATGTAAAAATGATGTTGAGACTCGAGAAAGAATACAGAGAAGAGCAACAAAGATGATTAGGGGACCGGAGGCTAAAATATATAAAGAATGGTTGCTGGAATTGGGTATGTCTAGCTTAATAAAGAGAAGGACTAGGGGTGACAGGATAGCAGAGCTCCAATATCTCAGGTGTTGCCACAAAGAAGAGGGAGTCAAGCTATTCTCCAAAGTACCTGAAGGCAAGACAAGAAGCAAAAGATGGAAACTAACCAAAGAGAGAAGCAACCTGGAACTAAGGAGAAATTTTCTGACAGTCAGAACAATTAATCAGTGGAACAACCTGCCTCCAGAAGTTGTTAATGCTCCAACACTGGAAGTTTTTAAGAAGAGACTGGACTGCTATTTGTCTGAAATGGTATAGGGCAGTGGTGGCGAACCTATGGCACGTGTGCCAGAGGCGGCACTCGGAGCCCTCTCTGTGGGCACATGTGCTGTTGCCCCAGCCTTGCCTCCCCTTGCGACCCCCTCCTCACCAACAGGCCCCCTGGAGGAGAGTCGCCCCTGAGTGTGGCCCACGTGGAGCAGCACAGCCAAGGACATGGCAGCCAGGCAGCGTAGACAAGACTCTGCCCTCACACCCCATCGTGCACAGTTGATGCTGCGGGGTACGGGCAGAGGGTGTGGCCACCATGGCATTGCTGGGCTGCTTGGGCGATCTGCGGCAGGCCCTGGAGGCAGTGAGTGGCCCTGCGGGCAGGCCGGGTGGAGGCAGGGCAGGGGTGGAGCGGGGGCAAGGCCAGTTTTTGGGCACTCGGTCTCTAAAATGTTCGCCATCACTGGTATAGGGTTTCCTGCCTGAGCAGAGGTTGGACTACATGACTTCCAAAGTCCCTTCCAATTCTATTAGTTTTATTATTATTATCATTATCATTATTATTATTATTATTATTATTATTATTATTATTATTATTATTATTATTATTATTATAGATAGATAGACAGACAGACAGACAGACAGACAGACAGACAGACAGACAGACAGACAGACAGAAGGGAAAGTTGGGTCTTTGGTCTTCATGCTGCTTTCTGTAAACTGATCCATGGATATCTGACAAGAGACCACTTAAATTACCCAGGATGGCAGGCAGTAGAACAGTTGGTTTGCACTAAAGCCTTTAGGAGGGAGGAATTCCAGTTACTGAATAGAAAGATGCAAACTGATCCTATTCCTAACATGGCTGAATACTCAACATTTAATAATAATAATAATAATAATTTAATG